GTTTTGCTGATAAAGTATCTGACCTTACAGAGAAGATTCTGGAAATCTCAGCAGAATAACTCTGCTGAAACTCTGAAGACCCTCATCATTCATCCAGGAAGTGATGAAGTTATGAACCGACAGAAATCCTGAAGAAGGATTTTATTCTGCTGCTGAATGYAGTTAAAAATCTCAACATGGTTGTGTTCCTCAGTGGGCCCATTCCTACAGCCAGAGGAGGAGCTGAGACGTTCAGCAGACTGTTGGTTCTTAATGGGTTTTTGGAAAAGTCCTGTGTTGACCACTCTGTGAGTTTTGTGGATAATTTTGATATCTTCTGGGAAAGAAAACATCTCTTCAGGTCTAATAGAATGACTCCGAATCAAACTGGAGCACAGCTTCTAGCTTCAAACATGAAGTATTTCCTGAACAAAGTACCGGCTGGAAACAAACAACAGGAGAGTGATCAGCTGACGTCTGAGGCTGAAGGACAACAGGTGCAAACTGAGACACCAATGGAAAACAACGTGCAAGTGGCTGAACCAGTACCACAGAGAGGGCAGTTAGTTCAAGCTGCTGAACTGGAAGAATATCTGGATTCATCAACATCACAAACAGAGGAACCAGAAAATGGATTTCCCCAGCCTGCAAATGAAGCAAAACTGACCATTTCTTCTCCACCAGAGAACACCAAACCATCAACTGAGAACAGGGGATGGGATGAAATTGAGGACCCTGTTTAAACAAGAGTGTAAACAGTGCATTATGAGTCTTAATGCTGTGGAAGAAGAGGAGGAGTTAGAAGAGTGGAAACAGTTGCAAGATTGGTCACCCTAAATTAAATATTTTTATGTCTGGGAGGAATAAAAATTGAATTACTGGGGTTGAGATTTCAGAAAGTACATATACGTACTTAGGTTTATGTTGACATGTTTTGTTTTTAAAAATACATTAAAGTTTTTTGTTTTATTGATCATTAAATTGGTGATTTAATGATCAGATGGGGGAGATGTAATGGAACTAATACTTTTATGTTTAAGCAAATAATTCATGACATCCTTTAATGACCTAGGTTTCCATGACATGCTGTTCATCTGCAGATAGAATGATTAAAGTCAGAACAAGATCTGAAAACAACAATAATCATTCTTAGATATTACTTGTGTTTATCTTTGTGTTTTCCATTGACCTTGTATCAAATCTTGCTAAGATGACATAATTGTGTTTGTTAATCCATCCATCCATCC